CAACTGAAACAATCCCGGGGATAGTTCAACCAGTCACGAGTCACCGCCAGGGCATGATGGTTGGAATGCAGCCCCTTCTTTAGTTTAGAGACCCCTGCGGACATCAGAGCAGGTTGTGGAACTGAGCCTATTTGCAATTCACCCTGAGCCCTAACACATTTCGTCACGTGAAAAAAACTGGCAGGATTTGACCACACTACTCCCACCCGACGATTGTGAGCGTTCATTCCGAAAGTTTGGAAACCGCATCGCAGCTGTGAGTACTAATTTTCAATAGTTGCGATAGTGGACTACTCTGTGAAGTGATGCACTAGTTGTTTCTTCTTGAAGGTTTCTGTACATCCAGACAGCACCAGCTGCCCAACAACAATGCTGGAAAGAAGTCGGGGCTATCCAGAGTAGACCACACAGCTTGATCTGAATCAACTGGTTGCCTGCTTGTTTTCCAATCGCTGTCAAAAAGATGGAACCAAACTAGCCGGATGGGCGTCCTGTGGATGGCACGTGCAGCCAGAACAGTTTGGTTTCGGTTTCTGTGGTACTGACGGAATGGAAACCCATCGCTGAAACGAGCAATATCATCTGAAAACCACCGAGAAACCCGCGCAGACCGTTGTGTTGGCAAACTAACAAGGCAATTCCAATTACGTTTCAAAATCGTACATTGGACACTACTTATCAACTGATGCTAAGCAGAACAACCAAATTAGGAAGAAAGACAAGTGTCCTCGGATGTTCTGGGGAGTATGACAAAATAACGCGGAGCTCTCATCAATTTGCCTAGTCCGTAATCCAAGGATTCGAAATCTCGGACTATACTTGTTCTTCTACACTTCTATGACTGCACCTTTTTCTCAGCACAAAGCACACACCTACTGCACGTACAATCAGTTCACTTCAAAACTGATTTATGCTGGCCAAAATCTCAGTAACTCAGCTGAACAAACCTCCAATGAGTTGAACAAAACATTTTCCTCAAATGAATTTTTCTATTCCCCATTCTTTATACACCATCATTATTGGTACCATCCATATTGTTAGTACTATAACTGTATGGCAATATAGATAACAACGGATCCATATAAGCGGCGTGTATAAAGCTGAAGATTTGATCAGGATGGAAAGGGAGGAAATTTATTCCACTTTCGTTTCACTCAAGCCAGATTGTCTCTAAGTTCCTGAACATATATCTATCGTCTTCAGAGTCATCTAACATACACCGGCTTCAGGACCGTGGCTTCAGGACCCATAGCTGGAGGCATCCACACATTAACCGGCTCACTGTGGTTGTATCAAGATTGCGTAGTGCCAGATCATGACCGAGGTGTCTGTGAGTATTTGACTGAACAATATGAGGGTTAGCCACTCAGAAAATGGCTCTCAATCTTGAGCGCAGATCCAGCAAGTGAAACTGTTTGTATCGCGCCATTCTACTGGTTGTCGAGGACTTTGTTGGGTGTTATGTCTAACCACAGTTGCCTTTCGCCAACATATTTATGGTGTATTTTGACTCAAAGTTAACTTCTTGCCACCAAGTCGAAACGCATAGTATCTCACGTCGAAGCGAGCGTGTTTGAACTGAAGTCCTCGCAGTGGTAGCGAAGCGAACACGGTTTCTAGACGGTCTGGAGATTGACAACAATTGTAACGCACCCAGGAACGGCATTTCGATTGCTGTTGTGTGTAGGTCAGCGAATGCGCCGTGTCAACCGTGGCTGAACCCATTTTGTTTCAGCACACCATTAACTCTGGTTGCAGTCAAATGGCGTGACGGAGAATAGGCCTCGTGAGACAGTGCACATTGGTAATTCCCCCATTCATTTGCTT